TCACCAATTAATCCGTGTAAATTATTTTTCTCTACAATTTCATTGATTGTTAATACTGTGAACGATTTACAATGTACAAAAATGTCCTGAGGAACGCACATATAATCGACGACCGCCCGTCCTTTCACCGAAATGGAAGTGTAATTGTCATGTGAAAATCTATTGTTTAAGACGCAGAATTTTGTGTCATTTAAGAATTCAATCAACGAATGGCCATGCTGATTAACTTTTTTATCTAAAACAACACGTGGCGGAATAGAGTCACAATCTTCTAGAACGTCAGAGAGACTACCAATTCTTGCATTAAAATCGGCTCCAATAAACATAAAATCACAATTTTCATAAGTATATATTAAAGCTAGTAAGTGCGCGAAAAATGACTGGCTATCACGACCCCATACAGAGTTTTCAGGGGGTAGGTAGCATGAGAACACTATCACACTCGTATCAATATCGTGATTATCAAATTTCAAAGCCAATATTCCGTCATATGATTTATCTACTATGCTTATTTCATACGTTTCCACGACCCATTTTTTCACGAGAATACCTACACCACCGGACGGTTTCGGCGCTCGACGGTGCATTTCGTTTCTGTTGTGACCAAACCACGTATAGCCTTCACATTGAATATGTTTATCAGCTGGTAAATGTGTTTCAATTACAGTTAAAATATCTGCGTCTATACTTCGCACAATATCTTCTCGTAGGGCATGATTGTCATTTGTCCAACCACAAACATTTAAATGACCTATTTTTACAGTGCCATTGGGTCGGGATCCGTCCTAATTATTAATAATCTGTGGGGTACTAGTATTTTCATGTGATTGACGTACATTTCGTCTAAGTCTACCGTTAGCATCTACCCGAAAATCATGCCCCTGTGGTAATTGCCTTAACAAAGCTCTGGTGTTTGACTCGATTAATCTTTCTGCATGACTTTTGCAGCTTTTTATATACACCTCACTATGAGTTTCAGAATTCTTTAATTTCATTTTATTTCGAAGAATCAATACCTTTTCTTCCTTGTTTCTTAGAATGATTTTCACAAAACCTGGTTTTCCATTAAAACGGCGACGATAACGAATTGCATTCACGACCTTGACTTTTTGAACAATATCTTCGCCGAGTTCATGAATCACGCTGTTGGCCTTATCGATGATTACCTCGTCTTTGTCAAAATTGATCCCACTGACCATAACGGACCTTTCATAATCTTCACCGTTATTTGGCCTAAATCCCACAGGCATATGCGTCGATTGCTCGCCGTTATTTAAGTCTATCGTCTGACCGACCGCTCCTTGTAGTATAGGCTGGCTGCTTTCCAGGGAACCGACCCGCCCACTTAATGATTGAACCGTTTCCAATATGTCATTAATACGTGCACTTTCTGTATTGAGTTTTGTGGTGATTTCATTACGAAGCGATCAGACTTTTTGCTCTATTTGTTCTACAAATTCGACTTTTAACTTGTCTATTTTCTCTTCTAAAGCCGTTCGATTTCTTTCTTGATTGACTTTCATTTCGGACACTGCAGTCACTAACCAGTCAATCTTATCACCCAAACTTGTGTACTCCTTTTGTGACATGTTTGAAAGGGGGCTACTTTCTTGCGCTCTAGGCCTTTTGTCACCAACTGGTGTATTAAAAACTGAGTCTGAGGCACCTGGAGCAAAGTTATGTGTATTCGTATTGTATAATATGTCGTTCGCCTCACCGATAATAGCGCTTACCCCAATATCCTGACTGTGTACAGTACCGAACTCGTTATCCTCGTAATCACTGCAATCGTAGTCAGCGTCAATATTACTTCCGTGTTTTGCGTGTTTTTGCACTCGAATGTCGAATTCGGTTTCACTGCTTTTCTTCCGTTTTTCTCTTTCACGGTGTTTTTTCCCTTTACCAGTTTGCTTACCCATAGATAAATCCACAAATTATATTCACTTTATATACACTTTAATTCCGAAAATGTTTCAAAAGATAATATAAAATGTTTAATCCAGGTGAAACATGCCCCGGGCATACACAAAACAGGTAAGCGCTTAATATGTACTTAGACAAAAGCTGGCCGTCTAGGAGCCTGGCAACCTAAAATTGGTGTCGTGTTATAAAAAATGGAACGATCAAAATAATAAAACGGCAAGATGGATTTTTCTTAAAATCTACTCGTACAAATGCTTAACAGTCCAGACAAAATGTCCTTTTATTTCCATCAGATTATAAAGCATGTTACTAAAATAAAAAAAAAATCAACATTACATGCTTTTTTTTAAACAAAGCAAAGTAAAAAAGTTATAACAAAATTATGCTCAAACAAGTTACAAAATAACTCTTTACTCACAGGGGCAAGATAATAAATCTTTATATAGTTATGACTACATGTAAAAATGAAGTGCAAGATCAATGAACACATATAGATATAAGGAAACAATATAAGTTGGAATAATATTTTATATTGCAAAAAACACCAAAAAAAAAACAAAACAAAAAAAACAACAGTCAAATTCAATCTCATACACGCGCACAAACCCTATGCTCCCTTAGCAGATAATTGAATAGACTACCGTTTTTGACTGATGCGCAGGAAAGCAACAGACGCATGCACACATAGCAATCGCAACAAAGTCATTTATTTCAAATAACAATGAAATGATAATATATTATGCAACATAAACGTACCACACTACTAAGAATGAATAAGAATTATTTCAACAAATATGACATAGATAATTTAAGCACCGATTATGATTTTTTTTATGTTAAATGCTAACGGTGACTTTCAGCCTTGTCAGTTCAAACTTTCATTTAAATACCCTTTTCTTTTGTTCCCCTTCCCTCCATCCACTTCTCGCTAAAGTCCCGAATCAAGGATTTTGATTTTTGAAATGGAATGTCACATGCGCGCATCGCATTGTGGAATCAATCTGAAGATTTTAAACTAATGTATTTGTACAACTAAAATTTATTGATAAATACTAAACAGACATCAATCCAAACGTAACATTTTCTAACTTTAAGAAAAACAGAATGATAAATAATTTGAAGCGGCTAAATCTATTTAAACATTTTAATTGATTGATGTCAATTTGTTTCAATATTAATTGCATTAAAATAAAATACATATGTAATGATAGCAAATTATACATGGAATACAATGGAGGGATACGGGATACATTTTTTGTTCGAAAGTCACATTTTCTGTACGCTCTACATATTGGGCTGACCGGACGGCTGCTATGTATGAGGAGTGTGTGCGTATATGTACCGCATGTGTGTATATAATGCGTATGAGGAGTGTGCACGCATATGTACTGCATTTGTGTATGTAATGCGTGTGTGCGTTTATTTTTCCGTAAGTGTGTATGTAATGTTTATGAGGAGTGTATGCATGTATAGACCTCTTGTGTGTATGTGTGTGTGTGATTATGATTCCTTTATGTACGTAAATGGAATGAGTGTATGGAAGCTTCTTGTGTATGCAGCTATTTTAAGGCATGTTAAGGGTGGAAGTTTCGTTTGTATTTTTTAATAGAACTCAACATACTGTTTTACTTAGCATCAACTCATCACTAAACCGAACAATACAGTCAGTGATTTAAGAAAGTTCACATTTATTCATATATCAACTTCGGTACTCAAATCTCACACATTTTCTGTAATAACCTTTTATGAAGCCAATAGAAAATCAAAGCACGGAAGGCGCTGAATTTGTTTGGGTCTCAGAATGTCAGAAAGGTGAAGGTTGTGAGATTATAAAACAATTTGTTTTTTATAGTGCCACCAATGCTTTCCAGCGTTTTAATTGTAGTAGATTGACTATAAGACTAATTGCAACACTGATATTCGATCCAATGTTTATTTGACTTAAACAATTTGAAAAAAAAATGAGTTGCCTTAACTGGGACTTGAACTCCAGACCTCTCGCTTCCTTAGCGAGCGCGTAAACCCCTCGGCCACGGTGGATTTACATATTAACGACCTAAAGAAAACCATATTATTCTAGTTAGGGTTTGTAACGACGCTAACTGTTGTTTAACACTTATGTAAATAATCATGGCGCTTATTATAAGCATGTATATCTATAAAGAATAAACCAATATTAGAAATCTTCGACCATTCGGGAATTTTTTTGCTTGAAAATTAATCCGCCTCTCATGTGACCATATTTACGCAGTGATCTCCCCTAAATTTTTCAACCTAAGTGTTACATATAAAGGGAAGTAACCGCTTCAAAAAAGCGGACTACTTTCGGCACTTGCAATTAACAGCATTAGAGTCTGAAATTTCGCTACCATTATTTGTTTGGTCTGACGACCCAAACAATAAAAACCACAAATTAATGCATTCTTGTAAAATGAATTCATGTCGTGCATAAACAATTTATAAAGCTATCGATATTCAAAGTATATAATTGAAGGTCTGTTAATCTACAAAAATAAATATTTTCTTCTGTTCTGTTCTGTAATACATTGAAATATTACGTTCGTTGATAATATTTAGTATCAGACAAACGAAATAATTATATATGAATTTTGTTGGCACGTGTGAAATACATGATCGTGTATTACAAATATTTATATAAAATGTTCTCAGGAACTTTCATTGTTCATTATTGTTCATCATAAAAAGGTTACAACTCACTTAGAACTTTATCATTCTTTCCAGCAATAATTGATATGACAAGTCAACGGACACATTTCTACTGTTATTATCAATATTTGAAATAGTTATGGAAAATGTGTTCAATGTAGGCCAATCCACTTTGAATAGTTAGTCATCAATTGCAAGAGTCTAATTAAATGCAACAGTCTAATGAAATACTACTTGTGCCGAACCATGATGTGGTGTATCATTTCAAATTTATTGTTCTTAATTTATCAAAATCTTATTTTACTACAGTATTACATGTGCAAGGCGTATAAATGACACTGCTTAAAAAGGTCTGTTTTCGACTTATATAGATAATATACATTTCACACGTATTTTGATAATTGCATTCTCTATTTAAGTTGAACAATTTTGACAAAGTCACTGTTCTGACTCACTATCAATCGGCGTTTTATAGAATCAAAGCACAGTGACTCGGGATATTGTAGTCCATGCGTTGATGTCAACACATCACATATCTTCTTCCCATCATATCCAATCTGTAACACGTTGCGTGAGTTATATCCGCATACAAATATGCTTCCTACATCATCTGTACACACTGATGTTGCATTTTGCAACTCGGGTTCACAATATACAGCAATGCGCTGATACTGATCATTAAGAATGATAACACCTTCATACAGATCTGCAACTACACCACCTCGCAAAGCATCACTGAGGTCAATTTCTCGAACACAGTTAAACAGACCATTGCCTGTGCTGTCTGTTGATATCTTTTGTAGTTCTTTACCGCACATATCATGTATATATAACGTTTTGGCATTATCAGTGATATATAGCTTATCATCCTTAAAGGAAATTCCTACACCACAGTTATGATTAATGTTAACTTTTCTTGTAGGTTTTAGTTCAGTACCGATTGAGACAAACTGAATACTACAAGGCGAAGAAAGGGTAACGACTGCTTCATCTTTACTGGTACAGCATACACCCCATGGCGTTTGGTCAAAACTACAGGAACTATTAATAGTCATAGTTTCGATATTAACGCACTTAAGCTTTTTATTTTCGCAATCAGCTAATAACAGCGTTCCATCTTCTATCAAACATGAGCCAGATATATCACAAGTTGTTTCATCATCTTGTAACTTAACATTCATATCTTTGACAGTCTCAACGGTGTAGTGGTGGCTGGTTTCTATTGTGGATTTTACTGTACCAAAGATTTTAATGTCTCTAAAAAAATTCACTATTCCCGAATCTACATGAAATGAAACGCTGGCTTCTCCAGTGCATTTGAAGTCAGATAAGCTCTTTTTTCCTTCTTTTAGTTTTCGTTTTGCAATGTTCATGCATACAAATTGTTGTGACTTGTTTCCTGCTGATGTTTCAAATTCTGTTGTTAGCTTTCTAAAGCCATCTTTGAATTCTTTCGCTGCTTGTCGGTCTTTTTCAATCTCATCTTTTGCGGTCTCGTATTTTCTCCCAACGTCCTTTTTAGACTGTCTTGCCATGTTTTCTATATGGTTAATAAGCTCTTGCTTTTCATTGTCGATCTTCATGTCGGCTTTCTTTCTTGACAAATTTAAGCCTACAAGAGCCTCTTCTTTCTTTAGTTCGATTTTTTCAAATCGTTTTGTAGTGTTTTCTAAACCCCGATTTATATCTGCAAGATCTTTTGTACTGAATAATGCGTCGATGTCATCAGGAATAGAATGGACATTTTCACATAATCTGTTAGAAATAAATTCAAGTACTATAGTATGAATTGAAATAAAATCTAAATAAGATAAAAAAATATGATATTCCCATTGTAATATTTATGTCTTAATACAATAAGAATGCTTGTTTGTTTGTTTGTTTGGATTAATACAGCACGTCAACACATAACTTGCCATATCGTGCCGAATGCTATAATAGGCTTAAAATTTATCTCTTTCAAATAATCAATGATGTTTTTTGATGGAATTGTATTAAATAGTTCTTTGAGTGAATTTACACAATAAAATCTATTACGGGCCTGTGAAAAATCACGACATTCAAGAAGAAAATGCTTGACAGTAAAATTTTCATTACAAGCTACACAGAAAGGGGCATTGTCATCCGTGAGGAGATAAGAGTGGGTAATTTTAGTGTGTCCAATTCGGCATCGAAGGAGAACTGTTTGATCATTGCGGTTTGACAGAGATAGAGATGGTGACACATCAAGAGATGGGTTTATATCGTGAAGTTTATTAAAAACGGCATCTGTCCCAATTTGCTTTCAATTCAGATGATACGAGTTTATTTATAGCCGGTCTAAAATCACAAGCAGGTAACAATAAGTCAGGTTTTTGAAAATTTAATGACTGTTTAGCTAAAGCATCTACTTTTTCTCGTATACCTACATGATTTGGAATCCAATTTAATTTAACAAATTTTGTTTTAAGTATATCATGAAATCGTAAAAGAAGTTTCCTTATCATGATATTGTCAGATTTTTTTATTTTTAATGGATATTAAAACAGAAAGCGAGTCAGAAAATATCACAAATTTATAATGGGTATGCTGTACTATGTATGACAATGCTAAATCTATAGTTTTGCTTCAGCAGTAAAAAGTGATGCATTATCTGGTAACCTCATACTAGATGTAAAATTATTTTCGAACACAGCCGCACCTACTTTGCAACCTTCTTTTGAACCGTCAGTATAAATATGTATAAAATATTCATGTTCTTCCTTAATTGCTATAAACTTCTCTTTGAAATGTTAAGGTGAATTTGATGACTTTTTTATATTTGAAAGGTTAATATTTATTTTCGGGGAATTATTAGTCCAAGGTGGAATATCCTCATCGTCATTTTGAAGGATACTGTCTTGATTAATTTTTAAGTTTATCTAAATCATCTTTTAAACGAAGGCCTAATGGTTTAATTTCCTTTGGTTTGTTAACAAATTTTTCAGTATAACTTGGTTTGAAAATAATATTTAAGCTGTTTTTTTGCTATTTGATGAAATTCTAATTGCATATTGAAGTGATTGATTTTTTCGAACGAAGATGAAGCGATGGTTGCCCAGCTTCCGCATAAAGACTTTCTACAGGTGAGTTGCTAAAAGCACCTAAAGCTAAACGTAAAGCCTGGTGATGTATGGTATCTAGCATTTGAAGATATGATTTTCTTGCAGACCCATATACTACAGAACCATAATATAATTTTGATCGGATAAGACTTTTTGTATAATTTTTCAGTAATGTGGAAAAAGTTTTT